TGAATTTTAAACTATAGAGTACAGTTTGAATATTTGTAGAGAAACGGAGCACAGTAAGCTAGATTCATCCTTCCACCTGATTACTGCTAATCATTTAAATTTCGAGGAGTCACAGTATGGTAGATGTGAACAGAATAAACCAGACGCATGTTTCATATTTCTGAAATTACCTGCATATGGTTAAAAAGACATGGCAATAAGACATCCGTGAATTTTTAGATGTATTTGCATTTTCCCCCCAAATTTTTCAAAAGGTAATGAAGTTAAATTGCATAGAACAATGGTTTTGACTTCAGGTACACCCATTAGTGAGCTTTGAAGTCAGTTTAGTGGAAAACCAGCTATTTTAAAAAATTTAAACAGAAAATGTCAAAAGCCATCACACATAGTAAGGTGCTTATTGTTTGTGAAACTTTGCTGACTTTATATACCCATGTATGTTTGTATTGGATCTCAATGTTAAAATTGTTTATGTAGATCCTAGTGAAAAAATATAAAAGCCAATTTAGAATTTGAATATAAGATACATTTTAATGAAAAAAACAGACTTTAAGTTCTTGCTTTAGTGGTTATGGACACAGATATTGGGGGAAAAAGCAACAATGGAAAAGATAGAATGGGGAAAAAATGGAGAAGAAAATGGTATGTGGAAGTTTAATCTAGGGCCACCGAAACTAGAATAAGACTTGTGGGGTACTTGGCGATGATAAAGGGAATCATATAATTAGAGAGGCAGGTGACATTTCATACTTGACAGCCATATTTTGAGCACCTACAGTATGCCAGGCCCTTGTGTATATAGGCAAATCATCCAAGGCTAATGAATTCAATAGTAACTATTACCATGGTTTTATATTTCTCCTTCAAAAGGTTTATTTAATCCAAACTGGCTTTACGTGGTGCCTTTTTATTCAGCTCTGAGACCTACCTATTTGGATTTAAGATTTTTTTTCTAAGAATAGACATTATGGTTCTCTTGAGAGCAATTAGTTCTTATTTAATGTTCTTTTAAAATAGATGAAGCCAGCATTATTAAGTGTTGAAGGGACACAGACAATTGTAGTTAAATTTTTGTTCAGATTTTTTTCCTAATTAAGTCTTTTTAGTTTTTTAAATGTCTACTGGTATTTCTTTATTTCTGTTTGTTTAAGTGCTTCCTGTGCTTTTCACATCAACACAGTGAGGAGCTGGGACTTGTCATTAAGTGTATATATATGAAACAGTTAATTGCCTTAGAGTTTTCACTTAATGATCTAAAAAACAAATGTTACAAGGTTGTTAAACATTTTGAATAGGAATAAAACAACACTGTCTTCATCCTTAAAAACATAATTTGCAGGCTTAGTTTACTACAATATTTTTCTTTTTAAACCTAGCAATTCCTGATGACCAATAAACTGGACACAGCAATGTGGCTTTCTCGCCTGTTCACAGTTTACTGCTCTGCTTTGTTTGTTTTGCCTCTTCTTGGGTATGTATTGTTTATATTGCTGCCTTTGCTAGTCAGTTTATATGGAATGCCTTTAAGGTGTAAGGCTTGTTAAACTGTAAAGGGCTCAGGGACAAATAAAATAAAATACAAGACCCAACCTTAAGACACTAATAACCTAATACTGTTATCATCAGCTGGAGGAATATTTTGTATCTTGTGGTTTGTGAAATTAACATCACATTGAAAATCTGAGGAAAAAGCAGATGTGTGGGAGTGAGATGAATTCATGTTTTTAAATTTTTGAGTTTTTTTAACTTGACAGGAAGAATCACTGCTTTACAAAACTCAGTTGGGCATATACATGAAATTATGCTTTTAAGAAGGTAGAATAAGTTCAAGTGATTTTTTTCTATCGACAATTAAATGATTTAGGTGTTGTGCAATTATGATGCAATTCACAAAGGAGGAAGAGACCTGGTGGTTGTTTATGTCTTATGATAACCTCTCCTCTGGTAATTTGCAGGTTGCATGAAGCAGCGAGCTTTTACCAGCGTGCTTTGCTGGCAAATGCTCTTACCAGCGCTCTGAGGCTACATCAGAGATTGCCACACTTCCAGTTAAGCAGAGCATTCCTGGCCCAGGCTTTGTTAGAAGACAGCTGCCACTACCTATTGTACTCGCTCATCTTTGTCAATTCCTATCCCGTTACAAGTATCCTTTTCCACCTTTTTGGCAATGAAATCACCAGCTATATGGGAGGTCTCTTGTGATTATTTCAGCAACGAGGGCATTCCAGGAAGCCTAGGTTGGTTTTTGGCACTTCATTTAAATGTGTGAGAATTTCTGACTCTTAAATACGAAGTCTAAACTTTGAAGACCTGATTTGGAAAATTTAAACTGTGTCTACCTTTGTCCTTGCCTCTTGTAAGCTTCTCTATTAGAATAGATATTTTAAAATTCAGATTCAAAGCAAGGCTATGCAGAACTCACTTTAATATTTAAAATTTTCTTTCAGTTTATATTGTCTTTGGAAAAGTGTCCAGATGTCTTACTTTAAAAATTAGAGGTCCTCAATTCTTTCTTCACTCCCAGTGAGCTAGAAACAAATGGAAATTAATCAAGAAATAACTTATTGCAGCAGAGAATGGGATAATTAATAAAAATAAATTGATATTTGCTGTAGATAGAGTAGAAGATAAAACACATATGGATAATCCCTGGAGTTAATGAGAATTAAATAACTCATTTGGAATTTATATGTTTTCACATTTAAAAAATGTGTTTTGGGAAGATAAAGGGTATTATTCCAAAAAGGAGGGGAAGAATGAACGAGGTCT